CCCCAATCTTGTACACTCGCCCAGTCTCAGTAACACAGTTCACGGTTACATTCTGTACATCCATACCCCATCTCTCTAACTCTCCAACACTGGTTTGACATCTGCGGAGCCGCTTGCAGCCATGTCACTGAGAGAGGAAGCTTTTAACACAGGGAGGTGTGTAATATTCATAAGGAGTGCTGCACAGACGGGTGTGAGTTTGAGCCTGGTCCTTTAGCTGCGATCTAATCTAAAATTAATGCAGGTTGTGTCAGATGGTGTCTCCTCTGTTGTTCATTCTGCTCCATTGCTCACATGCAATGTGCTCCCAGGTTACAGCAGGAAGTGCAATGAGAGCTTGTTTGGTGTCGTGTGCAGCCCAGCGGGGTGCGGCAGCACAAAGTTTTTGGGCGTCCTTGGTTTTGGGATTTTTGTTTCTGCTGAGCAACATTCTTGTGCTCGCACAGACRGTGGAGAGGGACAAACAGATTGGCTTGGCATGAAAACAAAGTCCACTCCTGTTTTTGCAAAACTAATTTAGTTGTGATTATCTCAGGGCGCACAGGCACATTTAAAGCCATAGTATAAAAGTTGACTTTATTGCATTTTTTTGTAATCAGTCCCTTTATGTTTAAAGAGCCCATTTACAAGTGAACCAGGGCTTGTAATCAGGAGCCACAATCGGTTCAGCTTTATTAAGCAGCTTTCCTAACACGCCYTCCTGCAAGTTGAAAGATTAAGGCGATGCAAGGAGCCCAAACAAATAGTCCTTGTAACTCAATCAGACCATGAAGGACTTTCTGCTTTATTGTACCTTTTCTGATGCACATTTAAAAAAGACCATATAAAAAAGGAAAAAGAAAGAGCTGAATGTGCACACATTTTGTCGACCTTGTTTCACAATTTTATGCTAAATCTTCAAAAAACACATGCTGACTATCAGATGTGCGTCAGGGTTGTCAAGTAAAGGAAAGAGTTTAATAAATTGTAAATGTTTCTTTGTGAAAAGTTGGAAGAGTTTTAAAATTACGTGAATTTGTATGGAGACAAATTAATCTCAATAAGAATTACACAAGTGCAGGGATCTGATCACGAGTGAATCTGACTTTTGAGACATTCTTACTGCTGCAGATTTACGCAGCTAATGCTGCGTTCAAGGCTGGTGGTATACTGGGACACCTGGACCTTACCAGTTTTCGGAAAAAAAAAACATTTTTGGCTAGGCACAATAGCTTTTAAACCCTATATTAAAATGCTTATAATGACATRACTGGGTTCTAAGAATGTTACATTTTGTGGACTGTACAGCTGAAATAAACAACCAAAACAGAGTGTGTTGAAAATGTATCTGAACAAATAAATACATTTTACCAGGAAAACAGTTTTTCCATAAAATAGAATAACCTACCCATTTACAGATATTTATTTCAGCTGTGCAATCCACAAAATTAACATTCTCTTTCTGTGAAACTACCAGAAAAAGATTGTTTTCCGTATTTTTTATGTGGCCTATGAAGTCAACCACTCAAAATGGTTGGAAAATATATTTAATAATAATAATGCATTAGTTTTATATAGCGCTTTTCGAGACCCTCAAAGATGCTTTACAATTTTTCATGCATCATTCATTCACACTCACATTCACACACTGATGGCAGTAAGCTACATTGTAGCCACAGCTGCCCTGGGGCAGACTGACAGAGGTGGGGCTGCCATGCTGTGCCACTGGCCCCTCTGACCACCATCAGTAGGCAAGGTGGGTGAGGTGTCTTGCCCAAGGACACAATGGCATGTGGGCATGGCGGGGAGTCGAACCTGTGACTTGCGGGTCCCAAAGCCGGCTGCTCTACCACTACACCACAGCCACCCCCAGCCATTTGTCAATACTTTTTGCAAAGAAACACTAGGAAATATGTTTCCAGTAATTTTAGAAGAATATCCAAATTATTTAACATTAATATAGAGTCACTTGAAACTTGTATTTTTGTGGACCGTACATTTGCATGCTTGTTCAAATATTGTTTTGCTCACTCAAATCTTTTTGACACTAATTTCTTTCCATACATCTAATACAGGAACTCATCTTGTCTGATTTAGAAAAATGTAAGATTTTTCTGTAAAAAAAAATTTAATATCGAGAAGTGTTACTTTTTTCTTTTTAAAGTTGGAGAGATCTAAGGTGAAGGTTTGAATCTGTAACTTTTGCAAAAGAAATTGCAAAACTTTCTGATGAATCCTAACAAGTTCAACTGAAGGCAGTTTTTCATATGAGAATGTTCAACTTGTCATTTAAAAATCAAGTCAAAACAGGTTTTGAAAAGAAAAAGCTCTGATTTGAAGGTAAATATCTTCATGAGTCAGAAAATGTCCAGCTGGGATCATTGTGTTCTGGWTGAATGAAAATCTGTACCAGCAGGATTCAAGTGACTCTTCAGAAACTGAGCTGAACATAAACCTTTAAAACAGCCCGGCGACTAAATTAAAGACTTTTCATCCAGCAGTTCCACAGAGAATACAATAAAATTATATTTTATAAAGGGAAATTAGTTGACCGACCAGACTGAAATCCAAATCAAGTGTCGAGTATCTGATGAACAAAAATTACAGCACAGATTAAAAACATTYTATATTTTAGTTTTTGCAGTACCAGATGTTTAGCCTTCCCTGTGTGTTTCTAATGCATCAAAATTTCTTGCTCTCCCATCTTCAAATGTTTATTTTTTTAGTCTGTGTATGTTTTGTTGTAATTAATGTTTTACTCTAAGGCATTGTCACTTAATAGTATCTAACTCTGTCTGAATGAGTGACTGATCAGATTCTGTGATCTTTCCACACAAGAGCTACACCCGTTGCTTTCTTTTTGACAGACTGCTCCTTGGTTTTTGCTCTGAAACTAATGGACTAATGTTGAGTTTTGTAAGAGTACAGCTGTAAGATTTACTGGTTTTATRCTCAGTGAGGGAACAAAGTTCAGAGGTCTGTGAGTCAAGATTCAACTATAATAGTWAATATAGTTATATATTAAATTAATAAAATATTGTTATATATTAGCATATTTTATATTAATTAATATAATATTGTTATGTTATAGTTAATATAGTTAATAGCTAATATTTTGGGGTCTTATASTTTTGTCTTAATCCACATTGGACTAAGATGCAATTGTATTAGAATGAACYTGTTTGCAATTTGAAGCAGCAAACACCTAATTTGTTGTATTTTTTCTTAATATTTCCACCTCCTTTCTAAATGTATCYTTCTTCCTTCGTGTTGTTGCTCTTTCATTTCTTGCCTACCATTTTCTGTTATATACTCTGTATTGTTTTCATCCTTTTCTTCTTCCTTCCTGTCCCTATTTTCTCGATGTTTCCCTTGTTCCCCTCCYTCTCTCTGTAACTAATGGTCCTTAAACACAGCTCCAGCTGTCGTGGCGTTGGGACTAAATCACAACAATCAAGAGTTATTATCAGCTGCATGCTGACTGATGGTACTAATGTCTYCCCTGATCGGATTAATAACGGGCCTGCTTGGGACATATTTATCATACAATTCCTGGCAATAAAGAGGTAATAGTTACATCATCCTGATTATTGAAATATTGTCAGGCTGAAGATTAAACCTAAACAGGYATAACGGAGCTTCATCTTTAGAAATTACTGCCTCCATGAAAAAGGGTGATTGTGTCTGTGTGAGTGTTACTGTTAGCAAAATATCTCATAAACCACTGAACAGATTGTTATGAAACTTACAGAAATCTAAATCTACTAATTTACTTTTGGAATTAATCCATTTCAAAATGGCTGCCACAGCTAGATGAGCTTGAAAACACAAAAATGGCTGACAGTCTGTCAGTTTTACAGATAATGAGCTAGTGTTAGTAGCTGAGACTGAACCCAAGCACATAGTCTGAGTGCTAACAGATTGCACAAAAAACATTTAATAAAAAAATATCATCATTAACCACTTGCAGCCAAATCTGTCTGTTAGCAAAATATCTAATGAACCWATGGACAGATTTTAATGAAACTTTTGTAAAATATTAACTAGATGTACWTCTACATCTYATTAACTTTT